GGGGCCCACGAGCGCCAGGTAAGGAGGGACGTGGCGTCCGGTCCCCCGACCTTCCCAGCCCCGCCGGCAGGGCAGAGCTCCTCAGCTCCCCCTGGCCGCCCCCGGGCCCGCGCACTCCGGGATCCCGCAGGCTGGGGCAGCAGCTGTCGCGCCCCGGGGCTCCTCAGCCCGCACGGTGGGACTTGGGAGAGGGCGCTTCAGGGACCGGGAGGCACGCTGGCCAGGCAGGGAGGACAGTGGAGAGGTCCATGGAGTTTCCACCTGCGGCAGGGCAGAGCTCCTCAGCTCCCCCTGGCCGCCCCCGGGCCCGCGCACTCCGGGATCCCGCAGGCTGGGGCAGCAGCTGTCGCGCCCCGGGGCTCCTCAGCCCGCACGGTGGGACTTGGGAGAGGGCGCTTCAGGGACCGGGAGGCACGCTGGCCAGGCAGGGAGGACAGTGGAGAGGTCCATGGAGTTTCCACCTGCCGGGAGGAGGGAACTCGCCGGAGGTGTTGGGCTTTTTTTCCACACACATGTCTCGGCTTAACTTTCGAGGGTCAAGCCGAGCAGGGGTTGCGGCTTTTGAGGGGGTGCCGCCCCTCTGGGAGTCTCCTGTGGCGAGAGCCGATGCCAAAGCGTCCGAAAACGACCTTACGGCCAAATGTAGCCGGCCCGCGGCCTCACGGAGGGGCGCAGTGGAAGAGGTGAGATCGAGCACTTTCTCTGCTTCTGCTTCTGGGCCAGGTGCCTGCCTCCACCCTCGCGCGCTTTAATGCGGTGTGTGTGTTGGGGGGGCGGGGGTGATGGAGATAGAGGCGCCGTTTTCCCGGTGGGTGCAGGATCCTGACCGCCAGCTCTTCTGGCACCGGCGGTCGGTCTCCTTCCCTCAGCAGTTGGATAGTCAGAGCTGACACCTGGCTGTGTGCATGGGGCAGGGGGTGATGCTGGCATTGGTGAGGGTTGGACCCCTTTCTTCTCTACTCCCCTTCCAAGGTGAAATATTATGAAAACCTGGAAGTGTCATCCCACTGTTCCCTTAGGATGTACGCGTATGTGGTCCAAGCAGGGAACTCTGGATGCAGAACCGCGACAGCTGCGGTGGTGGGGTCGACCAGGGTGATGGGAGGATGCAAAACTGAGAGGAGAGGTTGTCATCTGCAAGTAAAAGAGAACTAGGCCACATTACTGTCCAGAAAGTCCCCCCAAACCCCACCCGATCCCTGGGCCTGCACAATATGCCCCTGCAGGGCTCCAAGCCCTTGATAGCTCCCGAGGCCGCCTGGTTCTCCTCCCTCCCTTCCTTTGGCCTAAGAAAAGATTCACTCCCATCTTCCTGGTTGCTTTGCCCCTCAAAATTCCTCTCACCATCCACCCCAGATTTTTACAAAGCAACACTAGTGAAGTGCTTGGAGACCACCTCACACATGTAGGTCACTGGCACCCGGGAGGGTTAAATGCTTGAGAACAAAACCTCGAGATGTGTGATAAAGCTCCAAGGTAAATACAAGTTCATCCGAAGAGGGGACCCAACCAGAAGTGTGAAGTAGGAGCTCTGATTTTCATCATTTACCGAGGACTTTCCTATAGTAGGCCTCAAAGGCCATTCATTCATTCTAGGCCTAATGTCGAAGGCTCATTAAACCTATTAGGAATCATATGCTGTACAATAGATGGTTATTAGCCTATTACTTTCTGGGGGAGAAGTCGATCCTGCCTGCAGTTACTTCTCTAAAGTCTATTGAGATTTTCATTATGCGGTGGAGCTTCCTGGTTTTGATTTTGGATGTGAAACTTTAACCGCTTTTATCGTTTGTCATTTGCTAGTTGGTGTGCTTTGGTATATTTTAGGCATTCTTTTTTTAAAATATGTATTTATGTCCATTTGTTATTATTATTTTGGGATTTGACCAGAGAGAGTCAGAGAAAGAGAGAGGGAAAGCCATGTGGGAATCCAGCAACTTCAGCCACCATGCCAGCTGCTGGCCCCCAAATCATGGATTCTCAAAGAGCGAGCAAGGCTGGGTGACTTCACAGGAGCTGACCCAAACGCCACCTGTGTGGGATCTGGCTCCTTTCCAGCTCTTCCTCTGGTATTTATTTTAAGGAAAATGCATACCTGTAAGCACTTGTTACTACTTCTAAGTGGCGATTTGGGAGTTTCGTTTGTTTTAAATCAAGGCTTTAAAATAATGATTTGATAAAAACAACTGGCTTTATCAAAAAATCTCCAGGCATAGGACAAGTTCAAGGCTGGTTTCTGTTGAGCCTGGTTTTCAATATCTGGGGGTCTTAGTGCCACAGGTTTGCCATAGCTGTTTCTTTGTCTTCCTTCTTTTCCTTCCATTCTTTCTTTCTCTTCCTTTTAAAGCAAAGAGTTGGGCCAGCAGATGGCAAAGTAGTTGTGTCGCTGGACTTCCACGTGGTTGATTCAAATCCTGGGCCCCGTGACTTGAAACTCATGCCAGGCACATGTGCATGTGTGCCTAAGATCCCAGGAGAAGAATGGAGGAGAAAGAATTACGGTATGGTCATCCTCCCTGGGGGTGATTTCTCACTTTCCCTCTCACTGTCTCCTCCTTTCTGTCTGGTGAGTGCACGCACCTTACGGCGAAAACCTTTAAAAATAAATAAGTAGAAAAGAAAGCAAGCAAAGAGTAGTAGAAAACATATGGTTTAGATTCTCACAGATTTTATTTTTCTTACTAATTGTATAACCTTAGGTGGAATTCTTTAAATTTCTAAGCATCCATTCTGCTCCTCTTTTTGGGGTGGAGGGTAGGTATTATCAGTTTTTTCTGGGGAGAGGTTGTTGAGAGAATTAAATGAGAGACCATGTGAATGTCCCTTTTACATAGTAGGTGTTCAACATTTTTTTTTTCATTTTGTTAGACTGATTTTTTTTTTTAAATAGCGTGATGCTCAGGTATTTTCAGTATTAATTTTGTTTTAGTTTTTCATCAGCGACATTCACAGGATACAGGTGATTCGTATAACCGACTCTAGTGCTCTCTTAATTTATAAGCTCCCTTTGCTCTTTAGGTTCAATCATCGTAAACGAAACCCGTGCACTCATGAATGTAGAGGAACTTGCCCTCTAGGTTCCAGAACAAGTCTGCTGGGTTCATTGATGTCCCATTTCCCTAGAGAAATTTGCCTTTAACATTTCTTAAGCATCTCATTTTTGAATTGGTCTATGTATTTACTTCTAGGTTAGTCTCCTGGGAAGTTTTTCTGTGTGGGATATTTAGCTATCACGTGAGTTTTCAGGTCTGTGTGTTGGCATCGTTTGATTAGATTAATTGTATTCAGGCTTGTAGGTCTTTTATTAAGTAAAAATTAAGTAAAAATTAAAAATGTTCTGCCAAGAGGGTTTTAATAACACAAAAAGAAGAAAGCGTATCTTCATTGTATGAACCAAGTTATTATACTGAATATTTGTTTCTGTGCCCAGCTCAAAATAATGTCCAGTCTATAGGGTCTTTCGAAGTCATGTGTAACTGAAGACCTGGTATTATGGAGGAGTCGTCTAAAAAACATGCATGCATCCTTGTTTCTCTCCCTTTGGGCGCTATGTTTGTTTATTTCTTCCATGAGAGAGACAGACAGACAGACAAGCACCCATGTGTCCTTACATGCCCCCATTCTCACCAGCCAGGGTCATGGGCATGTGTGCACTACTGGCATGCCCAGGGAGGTCCTGATCTCAGGACCTTACCATGTGGGTCATGTTACATTACCACTGTGCCCCTGTTTGGCCCCTGTTGTTTTTATTGTTAGAAAATAAAGAACTTTTTGTCACCTGATCATTTAGGAACATATCAGTTACTTTCCCTGAAAGGTCTAAATGCATGACACTTTTAATAGACTGTGGCCCAGACCAGCCACAGTGGGAATTCCGAGTGACCACTGGCTCTGTGGAGCAGCAATGAGGTGGGCTTGCTGGCCTCTGGGCCTTTGATTCCAGTTGGAATCTGCGCTTCCCTGCTTCCTAGCTGTATAGCCTAGGGCAAGGTACTTACTGTTCCTCCACTGCAGTTTCCTCATCTGTACGAATATTATCACCTCACAGGTTCTGTGGTGAGTTCCAATGAGCTAATTTAGGAAGAGGGCTCAGCATGGAGCTCAGGGAAGGTCGCCTTGAAGATGGTGGCTGTGTTGTTGCAGGTGGCTCATTCAGTATTTATCACTCACCCACCCTTGCCTTTCTCCTGGGCTCTGTAGAGAACAGAAATCAGTCTGCATGTTAGTATTTATTTAACAAATGTTGTTAGCCATTTCTCCAGGTGCTCCAGGAAAGTTTCCCAGAGGAGGGTGAGCTTCAAGTCCTCCAAAACTATACTGTGGTTTTGAAGCTCTGGTGTCCAGTGCCCAGAGGAGCAGGTGCGTGGTGACCTCTTACCCTGCAGGGGACAAGCTCAGTCAATCACAGCCATGAGGGGCCCTGGCTCTCCTCTTCCCTGGGGCTCCCTCCTGCTGCACAGCGGAGTCTATTAGATTACCAAATGGTCCCTGACTTGTCATTGGTTTCTCTTCTCCCTCCTCTTCCATATTTCTGCTTATTTAGAATACACTATTTCTTGTTCAAAACGCAGCTGTTTCTGAACCTGTGGCTTCTTGAAAGGAGTGGAGCTCTCTGATTTTTGCAGTTGTGGAGCCTGGGTAACCACTGCTAATGACAGAGACCTTGGTAAACGCCATTCTCTCACAGGTCTTTAAACAATGCTGGGGTTTAGCAACCTGACTTGGGTTTGGTCTTCTCTGGTAAGAAAGTAAGCCAGGTGTTCTCTCTGTTCCCTCTCTGGACGTTGTCCCTCTTACATGGATGGATGGTTACCTGGAGGGCAGCCCAGGCCACCTCCAGCTCGGAGGGTCTTGTCTATGATCAGTGCCTGAGCCCAGCAGATTCTCATTGAAAGGGTGAGACACAGGCCTGGGAGCAGTGGAGGGAAGTGGTGGAAAGCCACTTGCTCAGCCCTTAGCCTGGGAAAAGGCCTTGACTTCTGGGGTCATCCTCACCCTGGGGCAGAGCCCACCACCTC